TACTAATTATTATGTTAGATAAAAAACTTACTGACGTCTTACAACTATTAATAATTTATGCTTTCAATACTTCAAAAAATGCAACCAAAAAAGGGAAATAAATATATTTTTTCGGAACGCTAACATTACCTCTGTAATCACATTACCCGTGCAACTAGTCCATAAGTATCAATATGTTCAAAATATTTAAACCAATATAGTCCCCACTGAATGTGAAGGGTCCCTATTCAAACCAACCATGTGAGGTACCCCATTTCATCATGTGGGCCTGGAAGTGGTGTCCATTAGTCGTAGTGGGCCCTACCTAAGTGGGGCCCATTTTACACTACTGTAAGTCTAGAATATTTTGATGAATGGTGAAAATTTTAGGGCCACCACCTAGAGCTGGCCTCCACCACCACAAGCAACCCATCAATCCCCACTCCCCAGTGTAGTACCTTGGAGGGTTGAGAAAAGTTGTATCATTTTTTTTTTCTTATGAGTGCATTGTTACATGTGCATCAAAATTTACATAATGATTCACAGAATGACATATTACACTTTATTATTTAAAAGTTTAAAATACAATCAACATTTTTATCTAATTATTTTTCATTTAACTCATCTTCTGACACTATTTCTAAACCATCATTTATATACAAATAGTATAACTGTTTTGAACAAAATAATCAATTACATTAGTAGTAACTATTACGAAAAGTTTCTTGTTAGTGGATCCAAAGAGGACTATGAATTTTTGTGTAAGTTGACTCTCAACTAGTATAGTACAAATGAAAAAGTAAGTGCAATTTAGAATAAAAAGAATTGGAAACAAAATTGAGTTTTTCAAATATAAAGATTGTATAAGATTAGTAATAAAGAATAGGTGTAGAGAGTACAACCCATTTTTAATACCCTAGATAAAATTGAGTTATCTTACACAATGTTGTCTATGGTGAATATCAACACAAAAATCACTATCACCATTGTTTGCCCTGGTTTGATTTTGGTCTTTGAGAATCTATTATATCCCACCATCATTTTTTAAACGCACTTTCTCGTGAAAAAGAAAATATTTTTTACGTTTCACATAACTTTTTCTTATTTTACATTCATTAAAAAAAAATTAAATTACTTTTCAAAGAATCAAAACTAAACAAGCATTTAAATGCAATGAATCAAATCGTAATCCTTCATATACTTGCGCAATTCCACTAGCGAGCACCATTCAAATTTTTAAAGAGTTTTATATCTGTGTAATCAATTATTCATTATTTCCTTTAAGTCTGGTCACTCTCTCATGAATTATATAGTCAAGAAAATTCGACAATCAAAAGAGAAGACCTTATCCATCGTAGAGATATATCATTGGAATTAAAATGTGTATCTTATTTTGTTGTGGGTCGTATTACATGTAATTTTGTTACACAAACAAGCTCAAGGAAATGTTCAAAAACTAAGGAAACATATGTAGATACATGATTAGATAATTTAAAAAAAAAAAAGAAAAAAATAATTCCAAACATACACGGCCAAATCGATCTGCTTGTTTTTTATCTCTCTTTGAACCTGTTCAAGTGGAATATTCTATTTACATAATAGGAAACTTCATACCTTGCTACACGTGGGCCCATGATGCATCTAGTCAGCTAACAACCGTTGGATTTCTTTCATCAAAACAAGATTTCTCCTCTCTTTGTTAATTGATAATAAAATCTATTTATCGAGCTTCCAAGATTCATTCCTCTAGTCAGCATTGCTTCCTCCACCCCAAATATCTTTTATCCTCATACACCGCAGCCACCAGCGCTGCCGTCCACGGCGGCTCAGATACTTTGCATGGCGACACCAACTTCAATCCCATTAATAACTCTCAAGGAAGATCATGACATGGAGGAGAAACCAACTTTTCCACCTATAGGACTTGCACCAACGCCTTTACAAACTGTACAACCTCCGGCTCCTGCGGTTGCGCCACCGCCGAGGAGATCATCGACTAAGGACCGTCACACAAAAGTCGAGGGCCGAGGGCGGAGAATCCGAATGCCAGCCACCTGCGCCGCCAGAGTCTTCCAGTTAACCCGAGAACTCGGTCACAAGTCCGATGGCGAAACCATTAGGTGGCTCTTAGAACAAGCTGAACCCTCCATCATCGCCGCAACCGGTACCGGGACCATCCCCGCCATTTCCTTGTCAGTCAACGGTGCCTTAAAAATCCCCAGCACCTCCTCCACCGCCGCCGCGGCTGCCAAGGACGATGACGGCCAGGCAGACCGCAAACGCAAACGCCCCACTAACAGCGAATTTGTGGACATAAAGACTCTCAGCAACAAAATTTCTGACACTAATAATAATCTCACAACTGCAAATCCTGCAATTATTTCAACGAGCTCTTCAATATCAGCTCCACTACTGTCGACGGTACCAACTCCGGCGCACGTACTGGTGCCGCAGATCACTATGTGGGCTATTCCGGCGGCTCTACCAAATGCAAACGCATCACCAACTTTTCTTATCATCCCACAGGTAGCACAAAATGGGCCGCCATCGGTGAATATTTCTGCTGCTTCAGGGCCCATATCTGCAGTTTTCGCGGCCGTGCAACCTGGTGGCGCTAACATAGCGCAGCCGCTGACGGTCGCCGAAGCTAATCTTCGGAGTTTGCCGAGTTCAAGTCCTGCAAGTTGCACTACTGTGATTGAGAAATCACAACAAAGACTCAGATGCTGAGGGACTTCATTAATTTGTAACTTTTTCTTGTTTTTGTTACTTTATAAAGTAAATCCAAGAATCTAGCTTTGGATTTCTTGTAGATTATTTAAGTACTTAATCAGATCATTTGATTGAATCTTATGGTGTTGTCACGATTTTACATATTAAATGCTGAACAAATATCAAGTAGGTGCAATCCAATGTATATTTCTAGTTAGGATGTTAATTTTGATAGTTCCATGTAAATATTCATATAAATTTTGTTAGGCTTACGCTGAAAAATTTTGAAAGTTCACAATATCCACACTTTTACACAACGCAAACGTCAGAATTCACATATTTTACGCCACTAAACTAGGCCTTTGTTTGAGCCTAAATTTTTTTTGAAACTTATTTTTTCTAAATTCATTTTCAACTGCACATTCTTCCATAAAATAATTTGAAACGTAAACTCAAAATATTTTTCTAATTTTTAACTACGTATTCGTCAAACTCAAACTGGGGCTAGAACTCATTGTTACAATTTTACACTCGATTAATCTCCTAAATTTTAATTTAAGTTAAAATTAAAAAATTAAATGTCATCAACTTTTATTAAAATTTACTAAATATCTTATTTTAATTTCAATGAAGGACTAAATTTACCAATTTACACGTATGGCACGTGTCCAAGTGACTGATAGGTGTGAAAAGATGTGCACGAGTGAGGTTGGGGAGACGTTTGTTGAGAGGGGCCTACTTTAGGTGATGGTTTAATAGATAGTGCGGCCCACATTATTTGTCAATAGCTAAGATGTTGGCACTGCTCCCGAGGTGGTGGTGGACCCATCTACCACGGTGGCGGAGTGTGGCCCCCGACATGCCTTGCCGCCGGACCAACCCTAGTGAGAGAAAGCTAAATGGTGGGCCCCAGAAGACGTGGTTATTAATGGGCTGAGACATTATAGTGGGGCCCCTTTTTATATTTTGACTCGCGTGGATAGTCTTAGGGTGGTCCAATTCTGTTTTAAATTTGTTACAATTTGGCAGATATTGAATATTCGATCTTTCTTTTTTTGGCCTTTTTTTTTTAATATATGAATTATTTAAAGTGGTAATTACATCCAAATAGAATTTTTAAGATTAAATTTAAAAAATCAGATATAAAGTTTATTTATACAAAAATCATATTATTTCAAATACTATCTCTCTCTCTCTCTCTCTCAGCAATCGGCGGTTCTACTCATCGCGGTGCAGTCACAACAGATCCTTCTCCCTCTACCGTCGGCAGTGCAATCAGCATCCTTCTCTCTTTACCGTCGCGGTGTAGTTTTCCCTCTTTCTTTTTCACACAACAATCGACATCCCTCTCTCTCTCTCTCTACCCATCGTGGCGCAACGATACTGCATTGCCGATCTGCTCATCTTGCAACGGTAACGTGCGACTGTCAAGCTCGATTGTTGTGACACATGTGTGCGCAGAAAAGTGATGGCCTCTAAATGTTTGCAGCATCGCGATGGGGTGTTGTGATTTTTGGTATAGGATTAATTAGGGTTTGAATGCTTGCAGCACCGTGCAATCTTGGTGGGGACATCAAATTTGGGGATTTTTTTGGTGAATTTAGTGGTTGTGGTGTAATGGAGATGGTGGTCCTGATTTTTGGTACAAGAGATAATGGCACTGCTCTTGCTGGTCGTGGCATTGATGGTACGATGTTGTTAGTGGTGCAGGTGTTGGTGGTGGGGTTGACACTGGTGGTTGCTTTGTAGTTGAAAGTGGTGGTTTGGAGGTGTTGATGGCGGTTCATGTGGTGGTGGCGTTAGAGAAGGCAAGCGAACTTTGCGCTGATGTGGTAGTGGATCTGGCATTGTTGGCAGTGGTGAGGTGGTTGTCACAATTAGTTATGGCGGGTGGTGGTGGCAGCGGCAACAACGTTAAGGTGTTGGTGGCGGCAACGGTCGAGTGAGACCAATAGTGTTTGTGACAAATATATAATATGTGACCTAAAAAATGTGATTGTGACTCACAATTTACTAAGTTGTGACTAAGACATAACTTGTCACCAATTAATTTGACAATTTGCGATTCTTAAATAAGTTGTTACGGATAAAATTTATACTTTATGACCGATAAATGAACTGTAACATATAAGAACTTTGTGACTGATAAATAAATTGTGATGTATAAATTTTTGATTTGTGACCGATGAACAAATTGTGACCTATGAGATTTTTGAATTATGATTGTAAAATAATTTGTGACATAAAAATTGTGATTTGTGACCAATGAATAATATGTGAGTTATTAATTTGATAAATTTGTGACCCATGAAAATAAATTGTGACGTATAAATTTTTAATTTGTAACCAATGAACAAATTGTGA